ACCCCGCGGTCCGTCTTACCCCACCTTCCCCTAATTATATTTTAAATTTCAATGTATTAAAATTATATAAAACTTCTTTATTTTATTTGATTAAAGAGCTTTCTTTATTTCTTTGAAACATATTTTAATACGCATAAATAAATAATTAGAAATAAAGAAAATATTATAAAGAGGTATTGTTAGCTTTTGGTATTTTATTAACGATATAACTAGTTCGAAGGATCTGACCTCATACACATAAAATCAGATCAGGTTAATTATATGCGCGATATATAGAATACGCAAGTTGCATACATTACACGCAAAAAAGACGCACAGCTTCACATATGCAAAAGTCCACTAGGAGTGGCACCGTCATCACGATGGACAAATGTTTATCGAGTTATCCCGTTAGGCTCAGCCAACGTGCACAGCGGTCGTTTTATCGAAGATCGTCCATAAGCATTCTCCCCTGATTAAAGTCTTACGATCTTACAATCTTACGAAGTCTTAACATCTTACGATCGTTTACCGATATTTACAGGCAAATTTTTGCTGATAACTATATATCGATCTGTTACGATTTATTATTCCACAGTATAAAAAATCAGTAGTCAGAAATAATTAACAGCGTGCAATATATGCATAAATGATTAAATACGAGCTAATTGGCAAATGCACATTTGCACATTTACCGTTAATAATCAATGCAAAATTTATTTAAAAATATAGATGTAAGATATTTATTAAACAATTCTATTTTTTTTTATTTGTGGGTTCCATTTTTATTTCAGACACGTTGATTTATGACTCATGTCAGAAGCGAGAAATTATGCTAATTTTTTAATAGTATACGTCGAAATAAATTAGTTTTTTTCGTATGACAATATTCGTGTTCAATAATATACGCAAGTGGTAGCGCGCGAAAAAATTTAAATTAAATTAATCATTCTTTTGAAATTAATTTTGTACAGTGCAAGGAGAAACGTTTGGCACAATTTTTCTTTTTTAATTTAATATGACTGGAGCCAAAAATTAAGTCTTATAATGTTTATATTTTTATATAAGTTTCACTGTAAGACTTTAAGTTTTTAAATTTCTTTTTTTTAAAAAGTTATTTTTATATTTTGCAAATTGTTGAATTCTACAATTTTCATTTGAAGCGCTGTTTTGAAGCTGATGTTCTGAACTGTATCGGGTAACGCATGAGTACCATGAAAAGTGTTTAATATCTTCGTCTACACACAAAGAGCAAACCGAATGCACGCATGATAATCATGACTAACGTTGCGCAACAAAATTAGAGCTATCCTTACTTCCGGGACGTGACAGTTAGTTACCGACTACCCAAACCTCATTTTTCAGCGTAAGATTACATGCAAAAAGACTTCGTCATTATGGAGAAGACAAAAGACTCGGCTCTTGGCCTTCTTATTTTTGTCTCACGTATAAGTATATAGAAAGTTAAATATATGAATATACAAGAAATGGAACAAATATACTCTTCATATACGTCTACGCAAAGTTGTTTTATATCATAACGTTATTCTACATATTAGATAAAAAACCCGGAAACAGGTTGAAATATTTTACGCTAAGTATTGAATTAAAGCATGAAAACTAGTTATTTTTGTATAGATAAAGTTACGGCAATCACTGTGCGCGCATGGTCGATTCTGCTGTTAGCTTTCTAAGCTGCTTTAATCTGTCGAACAGTAGTAGTAAAAAGGTTTGCTGTCGATTAATAGCAGGTGAAAGTAGTTTCACGTTCTTTATCGTCATGTGTAACTTGCACAACGTCATTTTATTCCCTTTGAATTATTATAATGATAGCGCCGCCATACGTGACGGAAAAAACTCTATGCAATATGTGATTACATGTCTTTTATATGGAAAAAGATTATACACGCTCTTTTCTTTCACTTTGAAGAACATTTTTTTTCTCAGGAACTATTTCTGTAATACTACATTTGACTTTAAAATTATATACAAATTTCTTAAATTTCTACATTTTTATACACTTACTGTAATTTAATAAATAGCATTTTAAAAGCAAAAAATGCAGCATACATTTATAAAATAATTATATTATTTCAATATACAGGATAGGAAGAATCTTGGATCTTGACCCAAAATTTCTCGTTTAACTTAAATTTCTTGTCTTCATTTAAAACCTAACTTTTGTATTTAACATTTCTTTGAAAATGCTTAGTTTTTGGAATATTTAGAAAATCAGGAACTTTTTCTACACTTGCATATAATACTTGATTATATAAGAAATAATATATAATATTTTATAATATACATTATAATATTTTTATAAAAAAGCGTTATAGAATTAAAATTTTTTCAATGTGATATTTTATATGCAACAACGTAATATTTGAAAATTTATTTTCGAGAGTAGTTCTCAATGACGAAAAATTTCAAATAAAAAATAACAAAAAACCAGAAAATATAGTGGGTGTGAAATGAAACATGATTCTTAATGAAATCTGTTGATGATCGCTGTTTATCTAAGCGTTGATTAGCCGAGTATTTATCTCAACAACAAAATCATTTAATGTACACATCTAAATACATTTCCAATCTTGATCACCTGCCTTCTCGCCATTCTATTTATGCATTCATTGAAGGTCATATTTTGGCGAAGTCGACCTCGCTATCATCGATCACGACAGCTTACGTAAATCGTAATTTGCGTTGGAGCCACATAATCATGACGTCCGTGAACATAAGCGGAATTCAGTCAAAGTCATCATTCTATGAATATTCATCAGCGTCATTTTAATAAGGCTTATTTTAAGATAACATTAATGACATCAAGTTATAAAAATTTTGTTTTTTATAAAGAATGATAACGATGACAAGTTTTTATATCGGCTCAATTTTATTTTTGAATCCACTTTTATACGTAAATACTATTTTATTAACTTTATTTTTCATTCTATTAATTTTATTTTATTAAATTTTCTTGTATCTATAATAAAATTGAAAAGGCGTTTGCCAACGATTGTGAATATATTTAAAGAGGAAGTTAGATAATCATTTAAGGGGAAGTTTCGGAAGAATTTTTATAAAGTCTGTGATCGTTGATAGACGAGCATAATATTATGATTGACTTCATGGTGCGATCGCGAACTAAAAGGAGATTATATGCTTGTTAAACAGAATCAATTGAATCATCTATCTTAAGTAGTACCTGCCTGTCTGAATTTAGATGAGAATAGTTCTGAGGTCCATGATTGATAGTTTCCACGATTCTTTGCGAAGAACTTCTCAAAATTCTACACTATCGTGATAGAATTACATTCTCTTCAAAATGCAGAAGATTTTTTCATATAAATGAAGTATAATATATGTTCTACAGAGGGGGACATAGTCAATATAATAGATACAAAAGTGCAAGATTTTTAATTAACTGTACAAGCGTTAACTTTTTATCATATCCAAAGAATCTTTACAGTATTTTTTTACTTGAAACGAAAAAAAATTTTCTAAAGAGAATTATTTTACATTATTAACTTTTTTTTCATATAAAATCATTATCTTCTCGATTATACTTTGTATACATATATGGATTGGAGTATTACATTAAAAAATTTAGAATTAGTAGTAGACAAAATAAAAGCAGTTTTGCTAAAAGTATCAGCCTTAGCAAAAAGTATTAGTTTAGTAAAAAAAAAGAATTGAATTTTTTTGCGAGTTTTAAAAGCAAAAAATTTTAAGAATCTGTGGATTTCTGTGAATACATTCTGTTGAAAATTCTAACCGGCGGTATGCAGCTTCGGCTGTAAATTGCTTGCGAGATGAAGTCACTTGTGCTGGAACCGACTGGCGTTAGCGCATTCACCGTTACATGAAAATGCCTCGCGGCGATGTACTGAGATAAATTGAAGTCACAAGTAAACCGTAAAAGGTCCGATAATCCCATCAAAAAGAGAGAGAGATAGAGATAGAGAGAAAGGTGTTTTTTTTTTGCTTGATGAGAGACAAGCACGTGATAGTATCTATAAGCATACTCGCTTAGATTCATCAGGCTCATCGGGCCCTTTTACGGAGAGGCTCAGATAATAATATAACTGACTTTAGGATATTCTTGACAGTTTACTGCCGGCAATAACCAACAGTTGTAGATATATACATGTTTAAGGAGCGCCATAAATTTCAAAGTGTTCACTGACAATAAGTGTCAATTAGGTAGACTCGTTTAATGCTGACGCTCCGATAAAATAGCAGTGTTACGGGTAGTTCATTAGGTAGACATAATTGTGTTAATATAACTTAGTTCTTCGTTGTCATTATTAAAGTCTGATATCTCGCCGGAATCTAGTTAATGAGAGAAGGTCGTTTATGTTTTCAGTGAAAACTTCTCTTGCAAAGGTATTTATCTTGTGCGGAGCAGTCCGTTATTATTATATAACTGGAAAAGAGATAAAATACTGTGAGGGTTGTTCGTTATTTTACATTCTCGACTTGTTTTCTTTATGTCGAATCTTCACTTTCCGATTGTATTAATACTAATAACGGACCACTCTGTAATAATTAAACCGTCGAATTGTGTACAATTGACATCGACAATCGGTATTCAGAAGTATGAGATTTTGTTAAAACCTGGCTGAGTTATTGTCGAAATCTTTTCTTGTCGATATATCAGTTACATTACAAATGTATTATAATTTACGACATAATTTATTGTTGAGAACAAATCACGCTGTAGATATAATTATATAAGATGTAAATTTTATCCATTTTAAAATTGAAATGAATAAAGAGATATTCTAAGGTTTTCCAATAAAATAAAGAAAGACGTAAAGAATCATTTTGTTTACAAAACGTGTTGGAACTCTAAGGATAAATTCTCAAAATTCTTTTAGGTTTTAGGCTTTCTGCATTGTTTCATGACTTGTAGTGGTCGATAAAGAATTAATGATTACTTTTGCAAAAAGTTTCTCAAGCTTTGCATACAATTTTCTAGAATATTTTTCTTGATTTTGTCGAGAAATAAAATTATATCTTACCTTTTAACGGTCGTCACTCTGTAAACAGCATCGAAGATATCATTTCGTATTGAACGGACGTCCTCGTCCTTCCTGTCTATCAGTTCACGGAAGTGCAGCGTCCTCACATTCGAGAAGTCCGGCTCCGCATAATGCGTTATCTCCATTTTTAAGCGGGCCACGTACAGTGTCGAAAACACGGAAATTGACTCTTCCCGCACACGACACCGCGTCAATACTTCCGGCAGTCGCGACCGTGTGGCAAGCTTTTCGCGTATTAATGCACACTAGCGCGAGAACTATACGGAACAAACTTCCATCGCGAATGATCGTGTATGGTGCGAGTTTCTATTGTTTCCAGGACACGCGTCGTGTGAATGACGGCGCAGTTCGGGATATACTCGCAGGGCGCATGTGAGATATGTATATAAAGGAGCAAAATGTAAATGGTTCCTACTCCTCGCGCTCTAACACAATATTTCAAACCGATTGAAACCAATTGAATCGCTTCAATATAGAATAACACTTGTTACGTCTTATAAATTTTTAGAAAGAAATCTAAATTCAATTTTTTATCTGTAAAATTAATTTTTATAACTAGAGTGCGTTCCCTAACAGCACATGTAGATTCTGAAAATTTTCGGAGGATATCATAAAAGTATATTGCGTACATTTTCAGAACATTCGATATACGTACTACGATATACTGAGTACATACTGAGAATGTTCCTATGTCCCACTTATTATAATTCATAGTATATACTCTGAATATCCTTTAGTATATCCATAGAATTTCACGAGTATGTTATTGGTATATCACGCATACACACACGCACACACACACAATATATACAATATACATATATATACAATATATATATTTGTAGATAGGTTAGATTAGGTTAGGTTATATTAATGTGTAATATTTACGTTTTAGAAATATATATTTATTATTATATATTTTTTTTACATTATATTTATATTTATATATATATTAATTTTTTTTTATTCTTTATTCTTGATGTATGGTGTTACGGTATTCTCTCTCCTTACGTTCTTTAGCATGAGCTAACCATATTTTAATTGGGGCTCAGATCTGCTCATCTGTGACATCATGTGATTTTCGTATTACACCTGAAAAAGTAACATATTTTTATTATTTCTTCATTATTTATAAATGAATTAAAACAAATATGTAAAGGAGATGTAAAGAAAGAAAGAAAGATGTAAAGGAGATGTAAGACGCACAATATGTCACACAAATTATCAAAAATAAATACAAAAAATGTTATTTTATGTTTGATAGAATATAATGTATAGAATAAATAGAATAGAAAAAGGATAATTACCTCTGATATGATGGAAGAAAGGACCACATACGGAGAAAAAGACCGGTAACGGCAATATCGGAAATGACGTATCTAAAGTGACGTTGCTATAGCAACATATATATACATATCCGTTAATAGCTATTATTCTGCGTAATTCAAAAGTATATTCTGAGAATATACGAGAATGTACGAGAAATAATATATTATCAGAGATATTAAAAATATGTCCTGAGAATATACGAAAAATAATATACTATAAGAGATGTTATAAGAATATTCTCAGTATATTACGTATATGACGTATATTCACAGTATGAGTATAGAATATTCGAATGATGTCATGTGCTGTTAGGGTTGTGTGTCTGTTACATTTAATAGTAAAGTTTCTGTAATATTTAAGAAGCATACTTTTTACTTTTTATATAATTAATTGTGATTCTCAATATTTTTTTTGGGTGGGTCGTGAAATTTCCCTGTAAATGCGGACGCACGGGTAATCATTAATGCACTCTTCGTATGCATTGTTTATAAAAAAATGAATTGAATACTACATTTAACACTAATCCAATAATATCAAAGAAATAGATTCGAGAAATTTGCAGTTTTATTTTAAATTCTTTTCTATTTTAAAAGTAACTTGATGTATGTTTTTCACGGTGTTATGGAGATTAATTTTTTTTTAAGTCATGAAGCTTCACGAGTTAATTATTCTTTTCATAAGTGACACATCCTCGGCATAGAAAGCCGTTGGTTAGCATGTTTGAGACGTGTTTTACGCGACACTTTCACGAAATGTCGGCTAATATGTGCGCATAATGATGTCGTTGTTATCCGTACACGTTTGCTACGAAGGAGTTAATTTGAATAGTGTTCCACCGATGCAATGCATAAAAGAATATAATGAATAAAAATGAAACAAGCAAATATTAAAAATATTCAAAAAAGATTCACATAAACTATTATTATTTTATGTTTATAAATCTCTCACAGGTGCAGAGCACCTTATAATGCTATAAAATACTTAAATTACGTATTAAACATAAATTTACGGATAAATAAATGTTTGTGATATACGCATACGTATATACATATTATAAAGTTTTATTTTTAATTACAATATTTTTTACCATAAAGTTTTATTTTTGCGAATAAATTGCTCAAAGGAAAAATAATGATGTAGGAATATTTTTATTTATTATCTGTATTCATATGCATGTTATCTAGTGTTCACACATATTATCTACTTGTCTGGCGACAATATATCGTTAAAACAAACTTATTCGTTCTTATTGTTAAAAACTTTGCTCTACGCATTTCTCGCGAGAATATTTTACTTTCACGATTTTGCGATATTTATAGACAATAAGGGAAATGCTTCGTCTTTAGGCGAAAGTTAGAAAACACAATAATTAATATAATGATATGCAACCTACATAATTTCTTTTATCATGACTGATAGGTTTTAATTTTTGTTTCATGGTCCCACATTCATTGTTTCTCATTGAAAGGCGACAATGTGCATTTTAATGACTTCAACGAGGATTTTCTCGATTAAGTATTCTGATGCTATCGTTTCACGTTTGACCTTAATTATCCCGCATCTTCACGCGGCAACTGGTTTATTGTTGCCCAGGATGAATGTGGTATAATGTCTGCGTTTTATGTGGCAATGATCAAAATGTGCCACTTGAATAATTACAAAGCAGTAAATCTCTTTGATTTTTGTCATTTATTTTTTTGTCATGTCATGTTTATGTTCTACAAGCTCTGCCAGTAGAATATAAGTTTTACGTGAATTTTTAACGCTAATCTGCCGCAACACTGATGAAATTTTATATATATTATTTGCTTGTTTACTGAAAAAATATATTCTTACAAATATTCTTAAAAAAATTTTATTTAAAAATATATATATTTGTAAGAATATTATATATATTAAAAAAAATTATATAATTTTTCACTTAAAATTTATAAATAATTTAGTGAATTAAATATTTGGAATTCTTATTTTTAGAAAAGATTCTTTTGTTATATGCTTTTAGAGATATTTAGAGATATTTTAAAAGCATGTGTTAGATAAAAAATATAAAAAGATTTATATATCGACTGAATACCATGAATCTTTTCTGAGCATTCATTCCAAATTTGATCACGTGATTGCGCCACTGAACAGACTGCCGACGCTTGCCGTCATTTAAGGCGTCGCTACTGTTCAATCCTTACAGTGCTTTGTATAAATCACGTGACCACTGACTTACCATGCATTCTGCAACTCGGAATGAATGGAGTGTGATTAACGAATGTTGGACGTGCCGAAACGTTATTTTGATCAGTAACAAGATACAAAACATATTTAATAAATATCAATCAATATGGCTAATCCTAATCTCACGGATATGACAGAGGAGGATGCGGCGGATTTGCAGTTTCCAAAAGGTACATGCATTTCCTAACTGTATGTGAACCGGCAAACATGTCGTAGCTAACCTCACTTTTATGTATGTGTAATATTTATTAGTCATTTGGTGACGAAAGTTAAGAAATAGAGGCTTTTATAACCATATTTTAAGCTTTAGCGTAAAGAGTAAAAACACATTTAGGTTATTTTATATTTTACACGTTTTAAAGGAGGATACGAAATGTAATGATTTATTTGATGACATAAAACATTGAATTTTGTTTTGCTAGATAAGCAATTAGAACTTTTTAGTAGTAAATTTATAATGTAAATAATTTGAGCAATTTAATCTTGGAAGGAAAAAGTTTTATGTCTCATAAAGTCATGAGATTCACTGATAATATTTAGAGCAGCAAATGAGTCTAATATTGACATATTTAACATGTCTCGTTGCAACTGTATAATCTAATTTAATTTTCTGAAAAATGTAACATTAATTAATTTGAAACTTAAGTTTAATGTGCTGTTAATATTAATCTAAGTCTTAACATACTATGAAGAGCTTATATATACATATGTATGTAATTCCAAAGAATTCTGCTGAGTTGACTCTATTTTCTTGCTACGTGGTACAAGAATGCCTGCATATCCGAGAGTTCTGAGAGCTAAGGTAACGATTTTCCTCTTTCAGACTGCCCATTGAGTCCAACGAACAAGTTTGCACATGATGTAGAATTTGAGATGTCAGTCCTAAAGTCAGACGAAATCCTTACCTCAGACTCAACGTGCCACGTATGCAGGTCGGTCCTCATAGAACCGTACATTCGTTGTGCCATGTGCACCAATATTGAGCTATGTCCCTCTTGTTTTGCCAATGGCTGCGAGATCAACGAGCACAAGAATAATCATGATTACATGATTATAAAGAATGAGTTTCCCTTGATCGATGAAAGTGGTTGGACTGCGAAACAAGAACTCGAATTGCTGGATATTATACAGCAATGCGGCTTTGGAAATTGGGTGGATGTGGGACACAGGGTACAGGGAAAGTCTGCCGAGGAGTGCAAGACACATTATTTGCAGCACTACGTAGACAGCCAGACTCTGCCAGATCTACCGAAGATACAAGAGACTGCAGTCAGCTTGTTTGGTTGCGAACCGATCCCATACGCATTCAAGTTGCAAGATTTGGAGGAGCCTCCCAGATTCATCCAGGACTCAATGAACGGTAAACTGTTGGCCGGTTACAACGCGGCCAGATCTGACTTCCTGGTGAATTTCGACAATCATGCGGAATTGCTCGTGTGTGATCTCGATTTCAACGAGTTCCAGCCAAATGACGACACATACAAATTAGGGCGAGCTTTGCAGGTGGCGATAGTGCAGGCGTACAACACCAGACTAAAGCAGCGCGTGCGGAGACAAAGGATCATTCGCGAGCACGGACTGATTGCGTTTCGCAGAGTTATATCGTGGATACAGAGATATGAAAACACGATAACGCGGCCACTCATGGAGAGATTATTGATATTTATGCAGCTCGTAAATGGACTGGAGTTTGATTTCATCATGGAAGGTTTACATCGCGTCGGCGAATTGAAAAATCGTATCAATAGGCTACTTGAGTTTCGACACAACGGACTTAAACACTTCCACAGCGTGCGTATGTTTCAAAATTTGAGCAAGATGAGGCAAGAACACGAGCGCGAGAGGAAACAGTACATGAACAATCCGGAGTATAGCTGGCGAAGTCTGATGCCCGACGTTACTGCCGGCAGCAATAGTCCGAATCCTGTGAGCACGTCGCGTAAGCCCGCACCCCCGCTGCTGGTGAAGGGCCTTCCAGGATACGAAAAGCTAAGCACCGAAGAGAAAGATCTCTGTTCCGTCGTTAGAGTAGTGCCTGCTAGCTATTTAGAATTCAAGCACATCTTGACAGCGGAAAATAAAAAGTGTGGTTATCTTAGATTAGCACAGGCTCGTATCCTCCTGAAAATCGACGTAAATAAAACGCGGAAAATATATGATTTCTTAGCGGAAAAGGGATATATTAATAAACCAATTCAATGATACTTATTTTTTTTCTTTAAGTTGTTAACGTGGTATTGTAGCATACAAATAATTTATAGATATAATATAACGTAAAAATACTGTGATATCATAAATTAATTTGTGCGTTATTGTTAAAAAGAATTTTATATTTTCAGAAAAAGTCGCCAAGTTTTATACATGTACTTATTTATTTCTTTTTAAAGAGAGATCAGAATCAATGACTAGTTTGAATATTATATGAATTAATCAACCAATTAACCATTTAATAATTAATAATTGAAAGAATAATTGCATTAAAGTATTTTTTTTTAAGAGTAAAATTTGTCCATAATGCAGATATTAATATTAAGGAACTTTATCTTTATTATGTGATATGTATTCATCAAACAGCGATTGTCAACGGTCACGCAAGAGACATCTATTACCTACTTTAATTTCGTATACACACACGCATACACATTTCTACTTTAATCACATTATAGTTTTTCAATTTTTTAAATTAAAAAGTAAAGTTTGTGTCTAACTATTAATAGATATTAATATATGTATATATATATATATATTTCTTATATTTGTTCTGTGCGATTAGGATAAGATAGAAATTAACACGTGTTAATAAATAAAGTTTTTAAATTTGGACAATTTTGTGAAAGAAGGCGAATCCTTGTAAATTGCAAATCCCCCTACAAGAAGTTCTTGTTGGTATTCGTTATCAGTTGCATATAAAGCAACACATTTTGTCGTAGAATTTGAAAATGCGGAAACACTATTGATTTCCGAAGTTTATATGCTGCTGGAGCACAGAAAAGCTCAAAATGAATCGGCGGAAGAAGAGCAAGAATTTTCTGAGGTTTTCATGAAGAGTTTGACATACACAAATCGATTCGGAAAGTTGAAAAATAAGGAAACAATCGCAGCTGTTAGAAGGTAAGTTATTATTTGTTTGTTAATTATGTTAAAAATTATTTTATTTAGTATTTTAAAACATAATATTTAATGCTAGAACTCTTGAAACATATATATTTTTTTTTTATAGTTTGCTGATGCAAAAGAAACTACACAAGTTTGAAATTGCCTCTTTAGCCAACTTGTGTCCGGAAACTCCGGAAGAGGCGAAAGCTCTTATCCCGAGCCTCGAAGGACGTTTGGAAGATGAAGAACTCAGAACAATTTTGGATGATATACAAACAAAAAGATCTTTGCAGTACTAAGAATGAAAATTTTATGGACACAGTTTCGTCTTGTTTCTTTTATCCACAATTTTTCCTGATAAATATGATTATTATTTGTCATGAACATTATATAAAGATTTTGTTTCAATATAGAATTTGCTCGGATAAAATTTGTATTAACTTATTCATACATTCCTGTAAGCATTGGCACAGATTTTTATTGTATGTTATTTTTGAAGAAGTTTCGTTATACTGATATTCATTATAACGAAATTCTATATTAAAATCCTGCAACATCCAATTACTAGAACCACTAATTAAGCTGTGGCTGCACAATCAACTTGATATACATAACATGCATCTGTATTATAGTGTTAGCATTAATTATTTAAGGTAATTAATATACCGTGAACTGTCAAAAAGTCAGTTCAAAAAGTCATCATATAAGGTAGAATTATATACAAGTGCTACAAATCTTATTAATTTTTAGAAATTTTTTAATTCTAATTTTTAATTACCAAAAATTAATTATTAAAATTCTATTGAAGAATTGAATGAAGATTTAATTAGAAATCTGCTTGCGAAAAATATCTATGATTGTGTGTCACAACGGAAAAGTTATTAAATTCCGCGAGTCTGAAAAGAAGTTCTGTCATCCACTGTACAGTAAATATAAAAGGATTATTAGGAACACGTTTGCTATCAGAGAACTCGTACTCTGTTACCCAATTCCCGGCAATTTGCGACACGCTGGGACAACTCGCGAAAGAAGACGGCGCTAATCGCGCAGACGACAACCGCGTATTACGAACGGAGCAATTATGGTCGGTTGACTTGGCATCAGATAGTAGGCCCTCATTATCATCCCGCAGGATTCTTGGGTAACCGGTAGCAAAGTGACCCGTTTGGCGTGTTACTCTCTTTAGGGAAATCAAGCTCGCGATAAGGATCGATGATGCCATTCCACCTATCATTTGCTGCGATCCTAATGACTGCTCTTCACTATATTCTTTGCATTAAAACCCGTTGAAGTCTTCTTGCTCTTTCAGTAATCTTTTTTTCTCCTGGTTGTTTTTGCGAGAAATGTATTCGCGTGTTCACAGCGCATATTTAGGATTAAACGTCGTTGCAAAACAAAAGTCGGCTTTTGAATTGAAAATATAGGAAACAACAAGGAGCTCTGCGTCATCGACATTCATTATTTTCCCTGTCGCGTCGACACGCGACATCTTTGGTATTCAAATCTCATTCGATAAGGAAGTCGTCCACAATCAATATGAATTTCTTGATTTAAATATTAAATGCGAAAAGCTTGGAGAACTAAAGATTGAACGCGGGAAAGTAAAAGAATGACGAAATGAAAGATTTTATGTTTAATATTTTTTTATATTTTCTTCAAACACTTATTAATTTTATTTGTTACAAATTTATACAGATATAATACAACATCAGTAGGAAAAAGTATCTTTGACAAGCGGAAAACGTGTTTGAAAAGTCATATGTTGATAAAATAAATTTAATTGAAGACACAAGATAGAGGGTTATAAGTATTTTATAACCAAAATAATGGCGAAAATTAAAATGTTGGCATAACTTATGATTTTCAATAAAATTCTCAATAAAAAATCGATTTTGAATTGGTCGAGCATATATTTTTACTATTGATTATCAATTTGCCTAAACGATTCTATAAAATCGCAGTTAAAAGAAATAAGAAGATATAATAATCTCATGATTAGTGATACTTTACATTATAGCTCGTATCTTTTAATAGCCATCGAACGACGATTATTAAGGCATTTATGAATCATTCATTTCCATTTATGCGAGTTTCCCCAAGTTAAATATAAGTGCATGCAAACGCGCGATATCTCGCGAAAGAGGCGCTTACATACCAGACGTAATGACCCTCGCATTAGTGGCGAGAAGAACGGCGCCGTCGTTGACGACACATAGTAATCGGCAGCAAGCACCGCTCCCACGAAGAGACCTCTTACGATAATTACGACGATCCTTAATCATCTGTAAACTTGGGGAAAATGCTGCAGGTTTTATAGCGCGCGAGTAATCGATAGCGGAATCGAAATGATCCGCAGAAAAAATGCTACCCAAATAGCACGATAGCATCAATGAATCGATCGTACTGAAATAGCGTTGTTTGCATCCACGACGAATAAAGAACAGAAAGAAATTGGCATGTAACTATATCACAAGATTTTAATGATTTTGTAATTTTTTGTAGAAATGAGTTATTCTTCAGATTAATTTCAATCTCGTCTCTTCGTATCATCTATTACTTTTTAGAAAGAAATAACAAAATAATCGTATTTTGAAATTTACTAATATAAAACTCGTCGCATATAAAGTTGCGTATAATTTTTATAAAATAATTACAATTTATAATACAATTATTAAATTAATGCTCCGTTTTTTTTTACATTTCGTCAAAGTGATAGATATTCAGCATATTTTCGCAATTGAAGTCAAGATGCAAGTGCATTCTATTCTCAAGATTCTTGTAAAGTGTGATGTTACAGCGTAGTTAAAGCGACACTTAAACGCTGCTAAGAAACTTGTTGTTACACTCGTTGCTTTTTTATTACGATGTTATTTTCTCAGAGTAAAATACAAGTTACAGGGAGAGCACGCTTTAGAGACCGGAATAGAGCCACTGAAACGTGCAACAAGTCTATATTCGCGGGAAGAGTCTGGCGACCAATCGATGGAATCAATTTGCATAATGTATACACGCAAACGTGTATGCCCGACAATGCTTCGATGTCGCGGAGTTGCCTTTATAAGGGGATAGCAGAATAACATCGACGTTCGCTAGCGTCAATAGGATCAAGCGCTGACGAGATCTTAGGATAAAAAATCGAGGCGTATTTCAGACACACAAGATGCGCAAACTCCAACATGTTATATATATATTAATTGATTACAAATGCCTTTTCAAGTAATAAAAAATTGCTTTTAGTTTTCAATCAATTTAAATCAACTGATTAATATCATTCTGAACAAAATACGTATCAGAATCGAATTACATGCTGAAATGATTTACGATTTTCTGCATTCGTAAAACAATTCAGTATTTGAAAGTTTAATGAGCCTAGCGAGTTTACCGTTTCTCGAAGTACTGAACAATTGTCAAACTAATGACGCTGTAGGACACGGTTCTGTTATTTTAATGTACTTTTAAACGAGGTGGAAACTGGTTTAAACTGTCGCGTTTTACATTCGTGACCGGAGACGATGATTAATAACGCACAGTTAATGTATCGTTTATCGCGAGACACGTAATAGTATAACTATATATACATCTTTGCAATAATACTTTGCATATTGTATAAATATTGTTATATTTCCGCAAGAGTATAATGTGCTTTAGACTTTTTAGGTGAATAAAAACAATGAAATTTACTTTTATATATTCGCATAAAATATTTGAAAAAGAATATGTCACCGGAATAAAATTTATAAAGCGTGACGTTTTAATTAAAATATTTATTTTACACTGTTGAGAGATAGATTACAATATTTTCAAATCTTTTTTTTGCTAAGAGAAAAAAATGTGAGATAACTAACATATCACTGCACAAAAATATTATATAAATAAATATAAAAATTAATTTTTATAGTAATATAAATCTTATGCAAGATCGATGTAAAATCGAGATTATTTATGTTTATTCACATAGACTTATTTTAATTAACTTATGGATTTAATTATATAATATGCATTTAGCAATTTATTAGTTTAATAATGAACATGAATTGATTTTTTTAGAATGCGAAAAAAGAGATGCAACATAATCGAGATTTAAAAATATAGTTTCTATTATAGAATGAAAACTTTATTTCTAAAACGGGAGGGATGTAAAAAATAACTATTTGTCTATATAAATTAAATGTTACTTAAATGATATTTAGATTATATATAGAGAAATAGAATATATTATGTATAATTGACACATGTGCTAAAGATCGGAAGCGCGACGACATGTGAACTGTTTTTTGACAGGAGAAGCGAAAGAACGTGGACGAGCGCGGTGCATCGACCTGCACGATGCATAGCCAGCGATCGAGTGAGGGCGCGGGACTTGTCGACCGGGCTTCACGGTTTGTTCGGCCGCAGCGACCGAACTCGGTCGATCGTGGCCGAGGATTCCCGAACGTGAGCGGAGCTCCAGTGCGGTGGAGTG